ATATGGAGTCCTGTTATGCTATGTGGCAATATGTGAATGCTTGTAATCTTAGGTCATCATACCCTGGAAACATCCTGGCATGATGTTGATCTACTTTTGGTAGCAACTAAAGTCTGCTAGTGTTGCAATGTTGTGTACTGTGAACATCTTTTTTAAAATGTTGGTTAGTTCTTTAGCATGTGTTGCAACATTTCTTTTTCTATTGGTCCATGTTTTGTCATTGTTTGTCCACTTTTGCAACAATGTTGACCATATGCACGATCTGGTAGTCAACCTTTGCTTTTGTATAGCCACAATTTCATATGTAACAGTAGTGAGACTCGGCTGTTTTATTAGAGCATTTTAGATGTAACCGTAGTCAACCTTTGCTGTTGCATGGCCATATTTTTCAGATGTAACAGTAGTGAGACTCGCATGTTTTATTAGAGCACTTTAGATGTAACAATAGTGAATTTATGCTGTTTCATTAGAGGATTTCAGATATAACAGTAGTGAGACTCGGCTGTTTCATTAGAGCATTTTAGAAATAACAGTAGTGAATTTTTGCTGTTTCATGACCACATTTTTCAAATGTAACAGTAGTGAGACTCGGTTGTTTCATTAGAGCATTTCAGATGTAACAGTAGTGAAATTATGCTGTTTTATGACCATATTTTTCAGATGTAACATATGATTCAGGTACTTGCAACATATGATTTAGGTACTTGCAACAGACCGCTACTACCAATTCAATATGGTCGATTATAGTCTCAGAAAATGGCATAACAGAACATCAATGTGCGTTTTGCCATACTTCACCACATGCAGTTGCTTTTGCTGTGGGTAGTCTTTAGGGTACATCCACTCAAACTTTGATACATCACATTTGAGAACACCACTTGCAAGAGCAGCAATTAATTGTATTGTAAAATGCTATAAATTAAATTAAAAGTGATCTAGTGCTATGACCTAATTATGAACAAGAACTCAAACTAGAGCTTCAACTCCGTTTTAGTATCTCTTGTGCTGTTTGCATGTATTTGCATGTTTGAACGCTATGCCCGTCTTCATGGCAATAGGAGCATGGGGGAGGTTTCTTACTTCCCTTATTCTTCTTTGATTTACTCTTCTTTATAGCTTTCTCCCTCACTTGCTGCACAATGCTCTTCTTCCTTTCCACTTTATCCTTTGGCCTTCCTTTTGAATCATTGATGGGAGGGTTGTTCACCATGGTTGTGTTGATCGTCCTTTGTTCTTGGCATTCATCTACTTCCATACTTGCTTCACTTCCGTCTGCCTTAACATCTTCCCAAACCTTGTCTATCCCTTGTAAAGCAATTTTATACTTGTCAGGAGCAAAACAAGCATATGCTGCTAGTCCACTCATTTTTTGCACAATCCATTATATCTGAGCTTGTTGGTTGTAGGAACACCAAAACAAGCTTCAGGTGACAAGAGGTTTTCACTGATCTTTATGGTTGCTTCCTCTGACCATCTTCTAAGCAAGTATTTCTCTGGAATTTGTTCTACATCACAGCTGGTGAATACTTTCAGAATATGGGGACATAAAAGTCCATCTTGCTCAAACATATTGCAGGTGCATGAATATGTTGTTGCATTATCTTGGACTGAAACGTTGTAGGTTTTCCATGTTAGCTGACCGCATCTGTGCACTTGTTTCAATATCTCTATGGAAACATCTTCACCCTCTACAGTGACCTGCCCCTTCTTGCATGATGTTGAGTCATGTAACAACTCCTGGAATCTGAAGAAAACACTCCTAGTGTAGAAGCGAGCAGCTTGCTTCTCAAATGCATATCTCCCCCAAAGTGGTGGTTCTGAAATCTCACCCTTGCAGCCTTCAAGATTCTCTTTCTCAATCCTTGTGTCCATGATGTACTCATATTATGTTACAAATTGCAGCATCGAATCTTGTTGATGCACTAGCTTCTTGAAGAGTGAATTCATACTTTCCGACCTTCCTATAGTGCTTGTGAAAGGGAAGAATGATTTCCTTAAGTATGTTGGTGCCCACATTGTCCTAGCAACTGACATGTTCTAAAATGCCTCATTCTTATGCAGGTTGTACTTCTCCTCCAAGCTATGCCACACGAGCTCAAATTCTTCTCTCGTTTCAGTATGATTAATGCAAGAATCGAACTCATTAGCAAATTCTTCACTAGAGTTGATCAGCCAACCAAGTTTCTTACAAGCCTTGCTCACTACATGAAATTTGCAGCATCTATGTACAGCATCAGGGAACACCAGCACTATTGCAGCCTTCATGGCCTTATCTTGGTCGGTCATTATATTCCTTGGTTCAAGCCCACCCATTGCTTCTTTCAAGGTTCGGAATACCCAGACAAATGATTCGATCGTTTCGTCCGGAAGCAAGGCACAACCAAGCAATATGCTCTGCATATAGTTGTTCACACCAACTATGGGCGCAAATGGCATGTTGTACCTATTACCACAAAAGGTTGTGTCAAAAAAGATACAGTCCCTGAAAGTCTTGTACATCTCCCTTGTCCTTCCATCCACCCAAAACAACCCCCTAATAGCATTGTCACTATCAATCTTCACCGCATAAAAAAGGTTGGACTCTCGAACTGCTGCTTCTGGAAATACTCTAATGTTGCCTCCATATCTCTTAAATGAACTCCCTTCCTCAGGTGACTCCTCAAGTTTGAAATATTCTTGGTGTTGTACAACAAGTTTCCAATCCCACCATGGAAATCAGAAAGCACAACCATGATTTGCATGGTGCTAATGTTCCTATGGTGGAGTGTCTTCAGAAGCTCATAATCTGCAAACGAAATGCGCCGATGGGACCTTAGCTGTTTCCTTCTTCTAATCTGCTTCACGAAGGGATGTGTGTGTTCTACTTTCATCACAACCACTCTCCATTTACCGCCCCGCAGACCAACTGCCATATGTGCCTTGCAGTCGTATTTCTTGATAGTGCTGCACTTTTTTGACGCTGTGGTCAGTATAGCCAAAGAACTCTTCTTCTTTGAGGCCTTAGCTTGTGCTACATCTTTGGTCGATCTCTTCCTCTTTGAGGCCTTAACTTTTGATACATCATTGGTCACCATGCTAGTTGAAGTGTTGTCCTCCTGCTCACTATCTGGCCTTCTGGCATGTGTGCACTCAAATTCCTTCCTAATAGGCTCCTTAGTAACAGTCATGTTCCTTGATGATGCAACCCGGATACTGAAACCCATTTTGAATGCATAAGCATTGTAAAGTCTCCTCGCTTCTTCAACATTGTCAAATTCCACCCTCACAAATGGCACCATAGGCTATGAACACACATCTTCTTCTTCATGGTAAACTTCTTCTTTAGATGACACATCCAAATCAATATAGCCTTGCACATCAGTGGCATTGTTGGAGACACTATGATTGATATCCATTTCACCTTTTCCCTACAAAACAATGATGCAAAAGTTTTAAGCATGACACACATATGCACCCTCCTTAAAGGAAACTAATGAAACAATGCTTGATGTAGTAAAAGATCTTACTTCAGCAACAATTCCACGTGATGTATAAATATTTGTGTGACTGCAATTGTTATTGCTCGAGCTTGCGGTATTTTGTGGCAGTCCAACAAATGTTTGTTGTTGCATGATGGCACTATTTACATCCTGCATATACCCCATGTTGCAAACTGTATAAGTAGATGTTTCACGTGTGCTATAATTCTATGTTTCCTTGGTATAAACATGAAGACAAGCAACCATGGACTAGATCAAATGAACACAGTAAATACATCATAAATTCGAGATCATCCTGCTTACACCCCATGTTGCAAACTGCATAAGTAGATGTTTCACGTTCTATAAAACTCCGTTGCAAATGGTAATCTGCATACAGTCTGCTACAGATAAGAACAAGGAACTATCCACTATTGCAAGCGTAGGTCGAAAGAAGCTGGAAATCATAGATCTTACCTCAGCCACGCCATGAATAGATATGGGAACGCTCCTGGAATTGGCAGCTGCGAGATCTCCATCTAATCGATTTAACCGGTAATCTCATCGTCAAGCACCTCCTCCATGAGTCTGCTTGAACAAATCCGCCGAATCGTTTACAATGATTGGGGGTGGGTGATGTGCATAGGGATGATTCTCTGGAGAAACTCGATTTGTTACAGTAGGTGAGACATTGGGGATCGATTGTTGCAACGATTGTCGAGCGGCGCGGGGAGAAACACGGTCGACCGAGCAATATCGACGGGAAGAAAGGGAAGCGAGATTTCTGGGCCATTCGGTACATGGGCTGTGCGCTGGGCTTGCATCCACGGGAACCGTCCGATGGATCGGTATCCATCGGACGTCCGGGCATAGGCGCTCTCCATTTTATTGGGCCTCACTAATCTTTACTGAGGTAAATATTCATTCTTTGCTGAAGTGACTAGAATATATGTCTCTCCAATATGTTCTTACTTAGTTAAATGATGTAACGAACCATTGAATAATTCTTAAGTTGTTTACTGTTGAATTGCAAAGTGAATATGAATGTTAATTAATTACGGATTATAGTGATTAGTTAAACATTTGTGAAATAATGGACATGGAGACATGTTATCCTAAAGCCATAGACATGTATTTGAGTATTGTGTCCTTGAAATTTTGTTAGTTCTATGTTTATGTGTATAATAAATTGACATATTTTTTATGTTTTTAGAAAACGTTAAATGAATACCCACCGCTATATCCTACTATAGCTTTTTATAGATTTTGAGTGAAGGAGGCCACCACTAATATAGCTTAATTAGGCCGCTACTTGAAACCTTAGGCACCTCTCTCCAAGGACCATAATAGAGTGCTTAAACAGTTAAGCACCAGCAAACCAAAACATAAGGTGCCGGCCATTATACATATCGAATTGTCGTTGTTTTACATCTCATCCTCGTGCACTGATCCTATTTGACATCTCATTACATAAAACCGCTAAATGATCTTTTCCCTACAAAACTCTGCATTATTGATTAATTAGCTAGGCTGCGGAGCTAGTTAGCACGGGTAGTCCATGAAACTATCGCACTCGAGGAAGCGGTCGAGATCGTGGAGAGGGTCGTCTTCAGCTGCCATCTGCGCCGCCATGTCCCCAGAATACCCATCCCACCAGCTGGTTTCGCCGGAGATGCATGAACCAGTAGCCGACGGGATATCGCTTGCAGGAGAGTCGTAGAACTGCTCCATACTTCCAGGAAATATCGGCTCTTGGCGCTGTGGCATTTGGTCATAAGGAAAGCAGGCAGAAGCAGGCTCGACCAGAGGAGGCAGCAGCAGCGGTGGTTCTTGCTTCATGTTCATGGCAGCCGCAGCAGCATGCCCAGTCGGAGCATTGGTCATCGTCGTTGTCGCCGTCGTCATCACTCCCTTGCCGCAGCAGCCTGCTAGCAATGCAGTGAGGTTGCTGCTGCTGCTGCCGGTGTTGGCTTTGACACTGCTGCAGGTGTGGTCGTTGTTGTAGGTGACGTGGTACATGGGCGGGTCGCTGTTGTCCATCTGCTGGACGTGCTTGGTGGCCAGGCAGCCGGCGTCGTCCTTGTAGGTGCACCGGAAGTAGCTCCTCGTGAAGAGCGTCCCGTTGATCTTCTTCGCGCCGTATTTCCTCCACCCGTAGCCGTTGTCGTAGGGCACGGCGGTTAAGGTCGTCCATGACGACGAGGTCTTCTTCTTACCGGCCTTCCATTGCTACTGATGATCTGCAGAAATTTCAATTATTGAAAGCAGCAGTCAGCGAATGAGTTGAAGAGGGTTAACAGTTAACTGCACACAGAACCGCTGAAATCGATCCACCAGTGCACACAGCCACACATTCACACACCTTCTTCTTTTGGCGCCTCTTGTTGCCGTGATGGGTACTATGGCTTGGGGAGTCGGCAGACGCCGGGATGGGCAGCGAGAGCTGAGGTTCGGCTTTGACGACGCTTATTGGTGCCACAGGAGCAGCAGGCTGCTGCTGCTTCATGACGGAGAGGGCGACGTTGAGGGCTCGCAGCGCCTTGCTGAGGAGGCTCTGCGCGAGCTGGGTCGACGGCGGCGACGAGGAGGAGCAGTTGACGAGGAGGAGAGGCTGCTGGAGCTTGATGAGCTCGTGCACCTGCGCCACCTCCCTCACCGCGGCCTCACGGTCCGCCACGCAAGCCATCTATCGATGACCTCCTCTTCAGTTCTTGCTGGATATATACGGAGGACTATGGAGTAGTGCTGCGAGAACTGATGCTTGTTTGTGTTGTTGGCTTGTGGCAACTCATCCATGGACCATGGTGGCCCTCGACGAGCTTATATATATGCAGCGGCAGTGCAGCCTCCTCTCCTGCTGCCTCCATGTGTGGTGTGGCCGTGTGGGTGGTGGACCAGACCAGAGCGCGTGGAATCGGATAGCAATAAGCAATCCATGGATACATTGGTCGTTCAGCAGGTAGCAGGTGAGCTCACTAAAGTATGGTTACAGCAGGACAGGCACTAATAGTCCAAGAAGATGCCCGGAACTAGCTAAACACCGCCTCTGAAACTGAAACAAACCTTTTTAACTTCGTCGTTCTCTTCCATCAGCATTCAGCAGCTTTAGTATTTGCTACGCATTCACAGAAAAATTCAGTCATAATCATATTAACCAAAGATTTCTGCTGGTCCTTCCTCATCAGTGTTGACGACGCGTGTGCATGCGCAGTCAGTCAACAAGAGCAGCGTGGATCCATTGGCTGACGATCCGACTCCGAGCAGGTGTACACTACTCCAACCCAAGTTTGAGCAGCAGAAACGAATTAACGGTCGTTATTTGCAACTAATTAATACTGGCATACTGTCAACGCCTGCGCACGCTTGCTGACATTTAAGCAGAGAGAAATCAGACTGTATGTCAGAGTCTGAATTAGACCATGGATGTATAGCTAGGGTTCATCGATCAGTCAGTACTATATTCACTATTCAGGTTACACAACACAGACACGCTGCAACCATCAACCATGAGTATTAGTGTATATCTGATATACCTGAGAGTAGTAAACATTGCAACTGACCAAAACGTGTTACACGTAACAACAGCTTTAACAAATCTTGTCTGACCAGGTTGGGATGGGATGTAATGAAATGGCGACTTGTAGTAAAGAAGCAGCTAGCGAGTGATGATGGGTACGTGCCGTCCATGAAATAATATACCACCAACTTGCTCCGTATCTTATTTTCATAATTGACTATGTATGGAAGGAGTATAGACTACTGCAACCAACCAGTTCTGTCTGCACGTGTCACTATTGTTCTACTTTAGCTCTTAGACGTTTTTTTTTTTTTTTGCAAAGCATAGTACAATGCAGGGCACTCAAACATGTACATATATTTACCCTATGAAGTATGAACGCATATACATATTGTACCACTATGAGCACCGAAACACTGAGATTGAGCTGGTAGATTTCAAGATATATTGACGAAGTCACCACGATGGCGTCGTTATCAATGGGCACATCGCTTGCCATTGAAAAAATAACTATTAGCTGAGGACACTGATCTACGAGCATTAGCTGCTGATCGCTGCCACCCTCCAGAAGCTGCCGCGCCGCCGGCGCTGCCCTTTTGCTCCTCGCCGCTACCGCTATTGCAGTCTAGGTCCCTCTCCTTTCTCTCCCCGCGAGTATGCCGGTGGCAAGAAGGAAAAGGTGACCCATATTATTTCTCCTTTGATAGCGCGTGCTTTGACAAGGCATGTCGATCTCGCCTCTTCTTTAATTTGCTACTAATTAAAATAAAGGATAGATATATATGATACGCGGAATGTTGGAAAGGAATTATTGGAGTGTAATGCAAACGTAAGGATGCACTCGTCATGTGCTAACGTAATACTAATAAGTATGGGGTAGCTAGTTTAAGATAAAATGAGCTATATGATGGTGGAAGTGGAACGTTGACGACGACGACGACCACACGATTAGGTAGCTCGCTCCTGCAGGTTCGTCGATCGTCGAATCCTGCTAGATTTGCCCCTCACCTTTACAGTGCTATTTGTTGCCGCGCGCGCCTTGTCGTCTCTGCTTTCGAATTCTTTTTAATTTTTCAATACGCGGTGTAGCACATCAGCACCGTTGTCCTGTCCTTTCCTGTCCTACTAGTACATATACCAATCCACACATATATATATGCATGTGCCTATATATGTGGATTGACGACAAACGATTGAATACATAGTGAGTAGTTTTGCCTATATACAATTCGAATTCAAAACTAAAATCCGTGTGCACGCATGGCCATAGAGTACATATATACTACCGCAGACCGGCTCTTTGCCGAGTGCCAAGTGGTTTGCCGAGTGTTGTTTTTCAGGCACTCGGCAAAGACGTATTTGCCGAGTGTTTTTTTTTACACTCGGCAAATAAGCTCTTTGTCGAGTGTTTTTTTTACACTCGGTAAAGAAGCTTCTTTGCCGAGTGTTTTTTTTTGACACTCGGCAAAGAGCTTCTTTGCCGAGTGTTTTTTTTACACTCTGCAAAGAAAATTTCAAAGCATATTTTGAAGCAGTAAATTAATTCAAATGAAAAAGTTTTCAACTACAAAGTTGTACAACTCATCAAGATGTACAATGTTTGTTTTGGTCTTTTCTTCATATGACAAAGTGAAAGTAAATTTATTCACAAATATAACATATCTCTCTTGTAGTTTATAAAACTACAAGAGAGATATATAAGATTTGTGAACAATGTTAGAACGACCATGTCGGATGAACAGATGACCAAACAACCAAAATAAACTTTGTAGATCTCAAAAAGTTATGAAACATTGTAGTTGGCAACTTTTTGATTTGAAAACATCTTGTCATGCAAAACTGTGTTTGAATTTCCAAATTTTAAAATTCAAATTTTGTAAACGACCTCGGATGGAAAAACTTCCTAAACTAAAAGTGTAGATCTCGAAAAGTTATGAAACTTTGTAGTTTACAACTTTTTTATTTGAATTCGTTTATGACCTCAAACAAGCAATTTACACTCGGCAAAAAAAGCTTCTTTGCCGAGTGTTTTTTTTTACACTCGGCAAAGAAAATTTTAAAGCACATTTTAAAGCAGTAAATTAATTCAAATGAAAAAGTTTTCAACTACAAAGTTGTATAACTCATCAAGATGTACAATGTTTGTTTTGGTCTTTTCTTCATATGACAAAGTAAAAATAAATTTGTTCACAAATCTAACATCTCTCTCTTGAGATATATAAAATTTGTGAACAATGTTAGAACGACCATGTCGGATGAATAGATGACCAAACAACCAAAATAAACTTTGTAGATCTCGAAAAGTTATGAAACTTTGTAATTGGCAACTTTTTGATTTGAAATCATCTTGTCATGCAAAACTATGTTTGAATTTCAAATTTTTAAAATTCGAACTTTTCAAACGACCTCGGATGGAAAAACAACCAAAATAAACTCTGTAGATCTCGAAAAGTTATGAAACATTGTAGTTGGCAACTTTTTGATTTGAAAACATCTTGTCATGCAAAACTGCGTTTGAATTTCCAAATTTTAAAATTCAAATTTTGTAAACGACCTCGGATGGAAAAACTTCCTAAACTAAAAGTGTAGATCTCCGAAAGTTATGAAACTTTGTAGTTTACAACTTTTTTATTTGAATTCGTTTAGGGCCTCAAACAAGCAATTTACACTCAGTTTAGTATAATATATTGGGAACTAAAACGGAATCCAGACAAGTGACAGTGTGGTGTAGTGGTAGAGGAGGTTCGTGCGCAGCGAGAGGTCTCGGGTTTGAATCCCGTCGGCCACGTAGCCGTGAAATTTACGCGAAAAATACCGAAGATGGGTGGGCGCTGACCGGTGGGGGCCTCCACCAATTAAAAAAAATCCAATTTTTTCGGTAAAAATTCTCATTTTTTTCGGTTCCAACTTTGCCGAGGGCTTTGCCGAGTGCCCGACAAAAGACACTCGGCAAAGACGCCTTTGCCGACGCATTTTTTGCTGAGCGTTGTTTGCCGAGTGCAGCACTCGGCAAAGCCTTTTGCCGAGTGCAAATTAGGTTTTGCCGAGTGTCCCTGGCACTTCTTTTGATGAAATCAAGTTAATTAAACAGGAAACATTTGCAGTGTGGCCCTTCTAGCTAGATGAATATATACTATCTGTTGCTATCGATCTGCAAGTGGATAGATAAACTAATTAGGGTTCGCTAGTTGTTTATGTTGTCCACTAGCGCGCAGTGCAGTGTGTCCCCTTCGCTCATATATCAATCGTGGTGCAGCGTGCGTTCACATGAGAAAGTGAGACTGGTCCATGCATGCCAATTGCCAATAATGCATGCCTGCCACAAAGACACCTATATTACGATGATGGATAGGGATCCGAACCTAGGGTTTCATGGTGATGGACATACTGATGACTTGGGCCATTTGGAATATACGAAATGACTTCATCTTCAACAATATGAAGCCCAGTTTGGAGGCAGTCAAGTTCAGCTTCAAAAAGGAAATAATGAAGCTGCTTTCTCTAAGAGCAAAGGCCAAATATTCAACAATTTTTGACTCATGGATCCAGAATCTGTTGTAATTTTCTCTTGCGCTCTCATTTTATTTGTTACCTTTTGGGTCTCTTGAAGCCCTTTTGTAATATTTTGTAAACCTCTTTTACCTTTCAATAAATTCATGTAGGGGTCTAGGCCCCTCACTACTACAAAAATCATTTGTAGGGGCGGCTGGTGTTGGTTTGTAGAGGCGGCTCGGCCAGCCGCCCCTATCATACCGTCTCTACAAATCATGCATTTGTAGGGGCGGTTCCCAGACCGCCCTTACAAATCGATTTGTAGAGGCGGCTGGTGTTATCAGCCGCCATTACAAATCGATTTGTAGGGGCGGCTACAGTACCAACTGCCCCTACAGTATATTTTTTCGTCAAAAAAAAAATTCAAATTACCAACACGTACTCCCCTAAATCATCCTGTGACGAGTAAAATACATGAAGTATCCTGGCAAACTTGACTGTAATATTGTGGCTCAAATAAGATTGTTTAGCGAAAAGTTTCTAAACATCTTCTATAGTACGAGAATCACAATAATAACAAACAGGCTCATATTATGACAACAAAACATATATCTATATCACAAAAAGACCAAGCAAGCACTCAAGTGCTAACAAAACAAAAAATAGAGGTAGTATGTATAGTACAAGTAGATATGTCTAACATATGTAATAAATTGGCAAAGAGGTAATCACCACCAGGGCAAAAAATGAGTAATTAAGTGCACTGTGCTTAAAACAAAGTTTCAGTATTAAAGCTATATTTGAACGATGGCTACAGTATCATACATTTTAGATAAGAAACATAGTATTTCCATTTCAATCAATACACTTTAAACCGTAAAACATGGGGCCAGTAGCAACAGGTAAAAGTTATTCAAAAAGGAAGACAACTACCAAAAAAATGTACCGAGAAACACTAATATTGCATAATGCAACATCTTAAGGCATGATCTATTGGTTCTCGATGCAGAACCGAAGATGACGTAAAATACAATGCAGACTTTTGCATTATTATAAAAATTTATTGTAAGTTATCAGCAAACCAGAAGAAAAGTTTCAATTTGATCCAACCTGCTGCTCGATATCTGTATGGATAAACACGTAAAGGATCCAATTGGGTCACGGTTTGTAAATATGCTGCCCACAGATCACATTAGTTCTCTTGTTGTGATTTGCCTCACATCATGTCAACTATTGTGTTTGCCTTTGCCTTTCATAATTGATAAGTTTGTAATTTCCATACATGAAAAAGCATCTCCAAGTGTTAAGTATAAGGGCCCTAAGACAAAGCCAACAATGACAAATTTGCACAGACAATTTGCAGGTTCAGAACTTAGAACCACATTCGACTACATTCAGTAGAAATAACTCAAGCAACCAGGCAGAGATTCAATACCAATTGAAGACATGGCATTGCAAAAAATGAGCTCAAACTCATTTCCACTTGTTATAAGCTAAGCAACAGCATATCATTGTTTCTGTAGACAGAAAACGAATATGATACAAAAAAAAAATACATGAATCAGTGACAGTAACATTAAAAGACAACAAATTGTGTTCTCTAGACTGATATTAAATGCATTTTGTTCCATCAAAACAAGTATTGCTTAACCAACTAAACTTTACCATCTTATAACCAAATAAACACGATGAAATACTAACGGTCCTCTAAAAGATAATCATTCTCTTTAGGGATATTGAATAATGCAATAAAACTTCTGTGAGCAAAGTACCTGTGATGAGGCACGCAAAAGCATTACTGTTATAATAAAGAAAGCTAACTCTTCTTGAGAACCCACCTTCACCAATGAACTAAGGAATATTGAATAATGCAATAAAACTTTTTTTTACCTTGTAAAGATCATCCAAAGATTTCCATCCAGTATGAATACCAAAGCTCATCACCATGTATTCCAAGAAAGTAATTATCAATCTCTGGGAAGAAATCTTTGAATGAAAAAGGCCTCTGATAGGATACAGTTATGCATCTTCTATAACCTTTCTCAATGCTTGCGGACCTAAAAACATCAGTACCTGTAGGTCAAAAAAAAAAAGGTGTTACAAGGGCTGATTACATAATGACAAAATACTACCCAAGTTCCAAGAACTGATTTCAAGAATATGTCAAATGAACCCATGCATTCCATAACAAACCTCATTTGCATCCTTGCAAGTATCTGTATCATTCTTCTTTGGCCACTTGACTCTCCAACATCTGATTGCATCAAATCAAATGGGAAAAAGGAAATGAAAAAAAGAATGGTCACATAACATTTTATTTCACAATAGTTAAAGAATGCTGATGCACAAACCTTTCTTTACCAAGTCGACGAGCAAGTTCCTCGGCCAGAGCCTGACCTGGATGATCATCATCAGTTGCTAATATTATCCTAGATGCCTATTCCCATGTGCCAGAACAAAATCAGTAAAGTGATCTGCTAGCCTCATAAAATAAGTTAATAGATTGATTTCTGAAGAAAGTCTTAACCGAGTCGAGATAGTCTTTGCAGTTCCAAAGATAGTTATACTTCTTATCCTAGCTTTATAGTGAACATACACAGGCATTAGGTCACAGATTAACAAACTACTACCTGCAGAGATAGAACAACAACTAAATCAGAGCTACACATCCAAAGGGAAATAGAAAATACAGAACAATTCAGTGGAAAAATATGAAACGACATACAGATTACATCACCATACAACTAACTTGACCAGATCAACGGAGGAAAAGGAGGAATCAAGAAGAAAACACGAACCCTATCTCGCCGCCCGGATCTGAGTCATTGCGAGAGACCGCAGCAGGGAGCAAGCAGCGCTGGGGCAGCCACGCCACCACGGCTAGCGGCGGGGGCTTCATGGCGCCAAGCGTCGTGGCAGGAGGCGGACACCACCGGGCCTGCTGGCATTGCAGCTGGGCAAGACACCGGCGGCGCCGCCGCCTGCCGTCTTGACGTGGAGGTGCCCGCGCCCGGGCCGGGCTGGTGCGCCACCACGTCGAGAGAGAGAGAGAGAGAGAGAGAGAGAGAGAGAGAGAGGGAGAAGGAGAGGGAGAGGGAGGGAGGCGGGGGGGAGAGGACGGGCGCGAAGGGCAGAGGCGGGCGGGCCATGAGAGGAGCATGAGTGAGATGAGTGGGAGGAGGCCAGGCGTGGGAGGGAGCCCTTTTTCGCAAAGGGAAGGCATCCATTTATTTTGGGTGAATTGGAGCGACGTGGCTTTGTTGGTAGTAGGGGCGGCTCACAATACAGCCGCCCCTACAAATCGACGATTTGTAGGGGCGGCTCGTACCACCACGCCCCTATTGTGCTATTTATAGAGGCGGCTCTTGTCTTTGGAGTCCGAGTACATCACTGTAGGGGCGGCTCCAATGTCAGCCGCCCCTAAAAAAAGTCCCGTTGCTACAAACTGTTTTTCACGTAGTGCCTCCAGTTTCATAAAAAAATTTACAGCGTGGAAAATGAGCAAGCAACATGAAACCAGACGACCGGTATGGAAATTAACCTGCTCCGTCCATTCTAAAATATATACTAGGTGTGAACAGTTAATTAAGCTAACCAAGAGTGTATTAGTAGGCTTTTCTATGTAAAATTTAAATGTCTAGAAAATATAGAATTTTTCTAGCTAGTGGCGTTTATAGTTTCACAAAAACACAAGGGTATATATGCTGGTCATTGTGACTACTTCCTCTCTTTTTCAAAATTCAAATTCCAAATAACTAGTCAACCAGCTTCATGGAGTGATTTTGATTCTCCAAATGAACGTTTCAAGGAATAAACCTCATCCGAAATGTTTCTACGAGGATTTAGATCCCACATGCCCTTATAGTTTTGTTCCAATAATCCAAGTTAAATTTATCTCACTAGTAGAGAACAAACTTTGGGTTTTTAGCTTTAGTCTCGGTTGGATTTGTGCCCGGGACTAAAGGGATCATTAGTCCAGGTTGAATCCCCCAGCCTGAGCCATTTCGAGCTCTGCTTGCTCTCTGTTCTTGCTCGTGAAAGGAGTTAATGCTTGTGGGATTTGTGAAGACTTCATTCCTCCATCCATTCATGGTATTTTAGATTGGGAATAATGGTGAATTTTTTTTTGATTTATACGTTATTTGAACTCAAACTCACTTGGTAGTTTGCATATGTAGATGAATGAGATTCCATGTACAAGCTTTTGAAATATTTATATAGTTTCCATATATTTTAATTTGTCATTTATGTATAATACTCGAATAGAAACTTATATGTATGGACGTATATTAGTAGCGTAGAATTCATATACAAAAGGCTAATTGAAACAAAAAAGAATTAAATTGAAAAGAAACCATAAAAGAAAAAAAGAAAGAAAAAGGAAAAAAGTACATTTAGTACCGGTTGGCAACACCAACCGGGTCTAAACATGCTAAACCCGGGGCAAGTTCTGGAGCCTCATTTAGTCCCGGTTGGTATTACCGACTAAAGGTTCTCTTTTAGTCCCAGTTCCCTGACCTGGGACTAAGGGGCGGGCTTTAGTCTTGGATTCGCGCTGAAGGGTTTTCCAACCGGGACTGATGCTCGCTTCTATACTAGTGTCTTACTTTATTTGACCAAATTATATACATAATAAAATATATCAATATTCACAATACCAAATAAATATACTGTCACGACATATTTACGATGGATTTGATAGAACTAATTTAATGTGTATATGTCGACACATTTTTCATATAATTTTGATCAAAGTTAAAAGAAATTGACACAGATAAACTTGAAACGGATGGAGCACATTACTAGGCCCCAATGGCGCTGCAATATATTAAGAGTTGGTGAAGAACGTAGCAATACGCGCCTGACTTTTTTTTATTTGAAGAACGTAGCAATAGTCACACGGCTTTGTCATTTAGTCCACAACCTGACGTTTGCAGTATTTCAAATGGACATTCCCGATATTGGCGACTATCAGAATTCAGAAATCAAAGGTTCTTCCATGCATATCGTTTCTTCTGTCCACACAAGTACTAGGGACTGGGGTCAATATAAAATGTCACTTGCCCCTTACCAGCATGATATTATAGCAGGTTTAATCATAATAATTGGAGTTGAACTATAATAGTAATTGAGAGTAAAGTTCAATTTGCTCCATGAATTTAAAAAACACTCTCGAACTTAAATACCGAACAACATAAATCCCTCAACCTTTGAAGTTGTTGCATTGGACTTTTATGCCAAAGAGTGAATGGAGGAGCAATAATAGACTTTGCTTATAATCACTTTGATCTAGTTGTGTTCTTGTTCCCTTTTTTTTTACAACAATTAGCTAAAAAATTTGTAAGACCTTGGTTGTGTGCACTCTATTAGAGGCCAGAAGCTTTTCTCCCATTATCTAAAAAAACTCCCTCAACTTTTAAAACTAAACAAATTACTGTTTTAAAAGAGTTCAAAGTGGTTTTGATGATGGTTTCAGCTGATGTGGCACATATTTGGCTTGTGGGCTCCATGTGCCCTTGGTTTGTTTAGCCATGTCATCTTTATTGAATAGGGGGAATTCCTTGTGTGCCATTAAAAAAGATCGTAATGCCCTGTGTGTCCCTAGAAAAGTTCAACGGTCTTCAGCGCCACTGCTCTAACTTTTTTGTGCCCTCCATGCCACTACCGTCAGTTTGGGCTCTAACACCGTCAAACTGCAGATGTGAAAAGTCAAAAATACCCTTATGTCTAAATATGTCATTAATTTTTTTGAGCATCTTAACGACTTCAAATGAAAAACCTCAAAATTAGAAAGTTGTAGATCTCGTCGAGATCGATAATTTTTATATAAAAATTATCTTCATTTAATTTCACAAAAAAATGATTTGATATGATTAATATATCTTAGAAAAATCATATCTTTTTTTGCATAATTAAATGAAAATAATTTTTATATGAAAATTATAGATCTCGATGAGATCTACAACTTTCTAGTTTTGAGTTTTTTCATTTGAAGTCGTTAAGATGCTCAAAAAATTAATGACATATTTAGACATAAGGGTATTTTCGACTTTTCACGCCTGCAGTTTGACGGCGTTAGAGCCCAAACTGACGGCAGTGGCATGGAGGGCACAAAAAAGTTGAAGCAGTGGCGCTGAAGACCGCTGAACTTTTCTAGAGACACACAGAGCATTGCGATCTTTTTTAATGGCACACAAGGAATTCTCCCTATTGAATATTTGGACTCCTAAAAAACATGAAATGAAAAAAGTTAATTACAAAGTTTTAGATCTTATCAAGCACCAAAAATGTGGTATGCCTACATCTGAGGTTGTTTGAAAAAAATAAAAAAATGAATTTCATAATTAGAGAACTTAAAAAAAACCTTTGAGCTTTTAAAAAAAATCTTGAGCTTATAGATGAAGGTGAGATATATAACTTTGGTATAGACCATGTCAAAGTCCAAGGCCATTTGATTTTTTTAAAAAAAATCAAAATCAGAGAATATTTGGTCCACTAAATGATCTCCGATAAAAATGTTGTTAATGGCAAAGTTTTAGATCACATTGAGAAGTATAAACTTGGTATAGGCCTTGACAACATTTGAGGTGGTTTCAAAAAATCAAAATAAAAAAATGGAGATATTAAAACAAATATTTAGGCATTTAAATGATCTGAGATAAAAAAAAAAGTTATCGGCTATAAAGTTGTGGATCACATTGAGGAATATAGATCATGCCAACATCCCCAAGATCATTGAAAATGTTTTACATGTGTCGAGCTCTACAAATATAAAAGTTATCAACTAAAAAGTCATAGATTGTGTCGAGCTCTACAATGTTCATATAAAGTTTGTATTAATCCGACTTCATATGAAAAAGTTATGATTCTTTATATAAGAGAATAGAAAGAGACCACCTTACATGTGGGGCTCATTGCCACGTCAATAAAAATTACTTTGAAATTGTCAAGTAGAGTATTTTGTTCAGTTTTAAAAGCTAAGGTGTATATAGTCTGGTATTGAAGTTAGAGGTTTTTTTTTCAAATTCAATGACTCTAGCGGTAAATTCAAAATTGACTCTAATAATAATGATGATGCCAAGGTGCTTGTTGGAAACATACATAAATTCGGGTACAAGTTCTCAAGTTCTGTTAAAAAAAAGGACAGGTCATCGTTGCAACTTGCAATATCTTGTACCAGTTTTTTTTAGGAAGTGCCGCCCTTTATTAGTTCATAATAGAATATCTTGTACTGTCTTGAAAAGAATACAACTATGAGTTGCGTGCCACGAAAAGTGGTTCACGTTTGACTAAGTTTTTAGTGAATAATATTCATATTTATGACTTTAAATTAATTTATTATGAAAATATATTTTGTAATTAATCTGATGGTAATTATTTGGTATCATAAACATAGATATTTTTTTATCTATAATTGGTCAAACTTAAGGTACTAAAACATAACACTGTGCTAGAATTGCATTCTTTTATGAACGGCGGTAGTACCAATTGAGTACGGCGGTATCTGTTCCATTTTAGGTTTTGCATGTAGTACTGCCACCGTTCCAGCAACAGTACAGAAGCAACAAAATTGAAAAAGAAAAGAGAAAATTAGTTTCTTGGTCTAAAGAAAGTTGCGCTTAGTTTTTTGGCCTTTTTTCCTTCAAACTTGCCTATTCGGCCCTAAAATGAATTTTGTTTAGTTTCTCGGCCCTTCTATTAGTTTGATGGTCTAACGGTGTTAACTTGTATGCGAAATGACTCTTTTACCCCTTGCGCCCAAGGCAACAGTCCTCTACTTATACGCAAAATAACTTGTACGAGAAAATTATTTTTATATATATTTGCACATGACTCTACTATAGGCAGCCTGCTGAAAATATTTTTTCAAGTATGAAATCATTATATTTGCACAATATA